AGCCAAGAACTGAATACTAAAAAATCAAGTCAGCAATTAACATATGGATAACCAAGATGGTCTTTATGGTTTCATGATGACTGACCTCTGCTTCAAATTCTTTATAACCTTGAACAGAAGCCTTAAGGACCTTAACGGCAACTTGAGTATTGTCCAAGTAACCAAGGAATACTTTTGCAAATCCTCCTTCCCCGATTTTCGTCTCAAAGTTGTTCGTCATATGCTGTATTTGTGAGTAAGATAGCTGGTGTTTTTTTGGCTCTAGCGATGTTATTCTTACATCGGGCTGTTTTCGGGCTGTCAACATGTGAAGATTTAAGAAGCATGATCACGAAAACTTCCTATTACATGCATATAGAAGCATGTCTTAAAAGTTATAAAACTCACATCTGTTGCACAAGAAAACTTTAGTCTAACCTCGTTTTCTCCAAATTATAATCCCGACGGCTATTGCAGCTACGAGGACCAGCAACGACGAAACTGATGCTACAATTGGAATAACGTAACTCTTTTTCTTCTTTTGGCAAGAAGATGAAGCACAAAGATCAGCGTTTCCTCCAACCCTTCCATAAAGCAGATGACAATATCAAGACTTTAATTTAGACTAGTAATCACTGCCATTAATTTCCTTAAATAGCAATTTCCTGATCTTTGGAGATGTCTAATGATAGGTAGAACTCTGAGATCCCACGTCGATTGGAGAGAGAACAAAACATTCTTTATAAAGGTGTGAAAACCTCTCCCTAGCAGACACGTTTTAAAAACCTTGAGGGAAAGTCTAAAGAGGACAATATCTGCTAGCGGTGGGCTTAGGCTATTACAAATGGTATCAGAGCCAGACACCGGGTGGAGTGCCAGTGAGGACGCTGGGTCCAGAAGGGGGGTGGATTGTGAGATCCCACATCAATTGGAGAGAGGAACAAAATATTCTCTATAAGGGTGTGGAAAACTCTCCCTAGCAGACATGTTTCAAAAACCTTGAGGGAGAGCCTAAAGAGGACAATATCTACTAGCAGTGGTCTCAGGCTGTTACAAATGGTATCAAAGCCAAACACTGGGTGGTGTGCCAGTGAGGACGTTGGTAAGGGGGGAGAATTGTGAGAACCCACATCGTTTGGAGAGAGAAATGAGTGCCAGTGAGGACGCTGGCTCCCAAAGGGGGGGAAGTGGATTGTGAGATCCCACATCGGTTGGAGAGAGGAACAAATCATTCTTTATCAGGGTGTGGAAACCTCTCCATAGCAGACGCGTTTTAAAAACCTTGAGAGAAAGTCCGAAAGGGAAATCCCAAAGAGAACAATATCTGCTAGCGGTGGACTTAGGCTGTTACAAGAACGTACTTCTTTGTCAAACAAATGTTTTTGTCTTGCGCAAAAGGAATATGCATGAACGATGACTATTAAATCGGATGAAAACAAACCAAAACTATTGAAACTCATTGGAAGAGTTGGAATTTTTTTAACTTGATACCTTATTGTAAGCGATCCATTTTTCGATTTCTCCATGAGTTCGCTTGGTATTGAACCAAGATGTGGGTTGTTTCTTAAGTCTCTGAAAACGTATCATCTGTCCATAATTAGTTTTCTCACTGAATATAATAAACCATTCATTTCTCAGAAAAATGACTCACAAAACTTTCAAGGAGTGCAACTCGGATAGAAGACTAGGCACTGGTCCACTCAAGTTATTGTTTGATAAATCCCTGGCATAAGCAGTTCACTTAGACTATTTTACAAAGAACAGGAAACCCCATTTTAGTTTCATTATCAGAAAAACTGACAAGCGAAGAGTTTATGTAACCTTTCTGGACTTACAAATATTGTAACGACGTGAGCTCAGATATAGAAGTAGCTATTTCCCCCACCAACCCACTTGAAGATAAGTTCCTGTTGTCGAATTTATCGACGTTAACGAATGAAGATAGATAAGAACTCAGCCAAAAGGAAGCATTGTTGGAAACTTACAACGAGGTGATTCGATTAGGAGTCTCATCATAGCTACAACTGAGACCGTGCCACACGAAGGATTCTGGCAGGCATGGATCACCCTGCCAATTCTTTCTCATTCCATAAAAAGATTTCACGTTCGTCATAGCTTTAACTGCAATATTTAATGTAAGAAAGAAAGAGTATAGCTACATCTCAGGTAATGATAAAGATAAATAACTGCTAGCAAAAATTCAGAACATACCGTCCTGCTCATCGGTGCGGGATTCTGATGTTTCTAGCACCCTGTAGACTTCAAGAGCATTGAGGATAGGTGGAAGATTTGATGTATTAGTTTTTACAAATTTAAATGCAATAGTTTCTCCACTCATTGGTTTTGTGCTAAACAATGTAGTTGACTGCAAATAATCAGGAGAGAAAGGTCCATTAAAATATTCCTCATTTTGATAGATGTTAAATTCCCTTGATTGGTTCATTTGAAGCTTTTGCAAATCAGCAAAGTGCAAGAATATGTGATATTTGGCACTGGGATCTTCAGGAACCCAGTGAAACTCAAGAGGAGCACTGGCATTATCGGTCGTAATAGCGGTGCTCATTACAATTCTTGGTAAATTATAACTGTTGCTGATTCCTGAATCAACTGTGGATGATGTGCTTATAATCTTGTAATTAAGAAAGTTAAAGGGCAACCAAATCCGATCACAAAAATCGTCTCGGTACCTGAGAGAAGGACAAGGAAACTTACTCATCAGCTTCTATAAACAAGTTTCAGTCTAAATAAGCACGCAGGCTATTGGTATTCTTTTTCATAAATGGCTTACCGAACAGTTTCGTTGGTAATCGATCCTACATCCAACCGTCTATGGAGAGCTAACAATTTGGAATCGGTAACATAGCTAGCATTTTTCAAAAGTCTAAACTCCAATGCTGATATAAAAGGTGATCCAAAGCCAGTAGTCACCAGACATACGCATACAGAAGATGTCGGAAGTGCATGTATTACTTCTTTGGTTATGATACTGGATTCATTGCTCAGTACTACTGAATCCCATTTATTAATTCCCATATACAGATCAAAAACTGGCGGTTTACCTTCGCCGTCATAGTTTCCGTACATGAAACTCGCTCTAATCAAATACTTGAAACCCTTACCTTGAGCAAGCTTTATGGTGTAACAGTTCCTCTCCCCTTCAGGAAAGCTTCTAACATACCAGAATTGCTGTGGAAGAGTGGTGGTGTTGAAATCTGATGATATGCTCTTACTTACTCCAGTTTCTGTGAAGTTTGCATCAGAAATGTACTTTATGCCTGTTACACTGTCTGTGTAGCTTGAATCCTTTGAATTTCCACAGTCAATGCTAACGAATCCTGAACAACAGAGCACAAACAGAGTATTAGGCCTCCTTTAACAACCTTCTGGTTTCTGGTTTTTGAAACTTTTACTGTTTTCTCATAGTTTTCTTAGTCAAATTCCAAAAAACAAAGCACAAGTTCTCAAAAACTAATATTTTTTTCAACGTGCTTGGGTTTTGAAAACATCTGTAAAATGTAGAGAACAAAACAAAGAAACGGTTAGGAATCACAGATCTCCACAAGCGTATGATATGGTCCACTTTGAGCATAAGCTCTCATGGCTTTGCTTTGGGTTTTCCCAAAAGGTCTCATACCAATGGAGATGTATTAGCCAATGTGGGACTCCCTCCCAACAATCCTCCCCTCAAACAAAGTACACTACAAAGCCTTTCCTAAGGTCTATGGAGCCCTCGAATAGCCTTCCCTTAATCGAGGCTCAACTCCCTCTCTAGAGTCTTCGAACAAAGTACACCCTTTGTTCGACACTTGAGTCACCTTTGACTACACCTTCGAGGCTCACAACTTCTTTGTTCGACATTTGAAGATTCTATTGACATGGCTAAATTAAGGGCATGGCTCTAATACCATGTTAGGAATCATGGATCTCCAGAATGGTATGATATTGTCCACTTTGAACATAAGCTCTCATGGCTTTGTTTTGGGCTTCCCCCAAAGGCACCATACCAATGGAGATGTATTCCTTACTTATAAACCCATGATCATTCCCTAAATTAGCCAATGTGGGACTCCCTCCCAATAATCCTCAATAGAAACCCACTAAAAGATACAAATTGAAAGATATAGAAAACTTTACATATGCTACACATTGAAAGATACACAACAATAAACCTGACTGATCTTGTGCATTAACAAGAAATGAAATAGCTAACGCAAGAAATATCTGAAGGAAGCAGTATCTTAACAGCTCCATAATCATTACTGCTTAATGGAAAGAGAGGAGCTGCAAATCATATGTGGGAGTTAGCTCTTTTTATAGATAGACCACAGCATGATAGGCCAAATCAAAGAGCCGTTAATACCTGGTCAAAGAGGCAAGTAACATTATCCAGTGAAGCACTGCATCACCAGCTTCGTTCAGCCATACGCAATGCCCTTGATCCCATAGCCAAGTTGAACTATTTTAAAGACATCATATTAAAAAATGAGGAAGAGAGGAAGACTTAATTCTCCATAGCTGTCACAGTTGACAAAAATACCTTTGATCTCTTCCCTGGTGGATGCTTTTATTTCAAAGCCAATCAAAATCATTGACACTGTTGTTTCTTCCACTCTTTAGCATAACATTTAGGTTAAACTATTCAAAATGTTCTATCTTCTTGTTTAAGAAAGAAGACTCATTGATTCAAATATCCTCAACATATATCTCAAATCATTCAAATATTTTATTCACAGACAACAATTCTTTATCTGTTGAGCTATATTTTGACCGATACCTTAATTTACTAAATTATTGATATAGTTTTATGGCCACTATAGTCTATGGAGTTCGTTTTCAAACTGGTTATTTCCTAGTTAAATATTAACTTCAACGAACTCGACTATACTAACAAGAGAAAAATGGAGATGAATATTTTCTATGGAAATTAGATAAAAGGGAAAAAAATCATAAAAGATTTGTTGGCAGTGGATGAGAACTAAAATCCGAATCATGAAGAGTATAAAAAGCATAAGGAAAGGAAAGGAAAGGAAAAGGAGCTCCTTGGTTGAATGAATGAGAATGGCAAAAGCTCATATTTTCAGAGTTCATATCATTATCTACAAAAGCCATGCAATGATGCTGCTTAGTTTTATGCATATAAAACATTCTCCATTGCTCCACACAATCTTCCCTACCACATTGAAACAATGACATAGCCAAAAGACACCAAATTGTTTCTTGTATACCTCGACATAACATATTGAGGTTCTGCCAACCCGACTCGACCGGGCTCGCTCTTTGATTGTTTGCAATAGATTGATTTGAACATATATAGCAGTAGAAGCTACCTAGCACGAGGTGTTACTTCGCTTTCTCTGAAATTTCTAGTAACTGTATTTGATTTTCCAGTATCAGAATCGACGTTCCTTCTTTTCCGAGCTCTCTCTAACGCCAAACACTCACTCAACTCCCTTACCACCTCCTTCATGCCAGGCCTCGCTTTAGAATCCAGTGACAAACATGTCATGGCAATCTCCACAGCCTTCCAGGCAGAACTCAAGTCGAAGTTTCCTCTTAGCCTTTGATCAACGATGCTCTTTATATCACCTGTTTTCATCAAGTTCATAACCCATTGGCTTACATGATATCTCTTTGAAGAAGCTCTATCAATTTGAAGGACTGGAAGGGAAGTGATTATTTCCAATATAAGAACTCCAAAACTGTAAACGTCGCTTTTTTCGGTCAGCCAGCCAGTTGCATAATACCTGCACCCAAGATGCATGACTTGTTATGCAAGAGTATAAGAAGTTTTATATATTGATTTATTGAAAATCTATGGAGTTTGTTATATTATATGTCACAATTGTCGAGTCAATCAACTACTTCTATGCTGTGTGCCTATGAAGATTAAAACCTTTGTTGTCAAGTACAATTATTTTGTCTGTTAAAAGTTATAGGTTACTAAAAAATGAAAAACTTACTCTGGATCAAGATAACCGTCGGTGCCTGCAACAACTGTGGTCAAATGAGTCCGACTTTCGGTCGGGAAACTCCTGGATAGACCAAAATCAGCAATTTTGGCTTGGAATTTTTTATTCAAAAGGATGTTTGCAGACTTCACATCTCTGTGAACAATTGGTGGCTTACAACCATGATGCAGATACTCCAATCCTAGATTTTAAAACCTCACTCAAGTCCATGGGAAATCAGAAACAATACAGTAAACATTATTAAAGACAACAGAAGCTAAAAATGCATCCAACCTTGTGCTGCATCGACCGCTATTTGCATCCTTTCCTCCCAACTGAGAACTCTAACATTTCCACCTGCATCATTTTAACCTTCTGTCACTCTTCATCATAAAGGTCTAAAAAGAGGGGAAGAAAAGAGTGTCCGAGCAACTAAAATAGAACTTGTAACAGCAGCAAAAACCTAATAGATGCTCTTTTAAGTTGCCATTATTTATGTACTCATAGATAAGAACCAGATTGGTCTTTTCATAGCAGAATCCAACAAGGCTTGTCAAGTTTGTATGATGAATTCTCAGCAAAAGTTTGACCTGAAACGCAAACAAAAGACAGAATTATTTCTACGATAGACAAGCTTCTGGAGGCTTTTGCTCATAACTTAAGATTGGAAACATAGAAGGTCAGACCAAGACCTGTTTAGCAATTGAAAAAACAATACTGCATGCAACCTAGACAAAGGACGAAAAACGACATTCGAGCTAAGGTCGACCTATCTATTTATGACTTCAAATTTTCATTATTTCTGGATAAGTTTCACGATTATATTTTTCTTGAAGTAAAATTCATCCTTTGTTTTTTCCTTTCTATTCACTCAAATCCCTTGCCTTTCCTAGACTCGAGGTCTCCTTTTCCTCCAGCTTAGTTCTTCAGTTTCATCATATCTTTAAGATCAGGATACAAGTGAGTGCTGCCCTACAATGTTTTGTCATTATTTCTGTCCAACAGACACTGCTCATGATGACTTACCTCTGTTTCAAACTCTTTGTAACCTTGAACAGAAGACTTAAGGACCTTCACGGCAACTTGAGTATTGTCCAAGTAACCAAGGAATACTTTTGCAAATCCTCCTTCCCCGATTTTCGTCTCAAAGTTATTTGTCATACGCTGTATTTGCGAGTAAGATAGCCGCTGATTTTTTGGCTCTAGCGATCCGAGTCTTATAATGGGCTGTTTTCGGGCTGTCAACGAGTGAAGGTTTGAGAAGCATGTTCATGAAAACTTCCTATTACATGCATATAGAAGCATGTCTTAAAAGTTATAAAACTCATAACACTTGTACAAGAAAACTTTAGTCTAACCTCGTTTTTTCCATATTATAATCCAGACGACTATTGCAGCTAAGAGGACCAGCAACGATGAAACTGTTGCTACAATTGGAACAACGTAACTCTGTTTCTTCTTTTGGCAAGGAGATGAAGCACAAACATCGGCGTTTCCTCCAACCCTTCCATAAAGCAGATGACAATATCAAGACTTTACGTTAGACTAGTAATCACTGCCATTAATCTCCTTAAATAGCATATTTCCTGATCTTTGGAGACGTATAATGATAGGTAAAACATACAGCATTTGTAAAAGAAATCTTGTTGTCTTATGCAAAAGGAACATTCATGAAAGATTGACTAAAAGTAGGGTGAAAACAAACCAAAACTAACTCATTAGAAGAGTTGGGAATTTTTTTAAGTTCAAACAAAAATATGATACCTTATTGTAAGCGATCCATTCTTAGATTTCTCCATGAGTTCGCTTGGTATAGAACCAAGAAGTGGGTTGTTTCTCAAGTCTCTGAAATGTATCATCAGTCCATAATTAGTTTTCTCACTGAATACATTAATCCATTCATTTCTGAGAAAAACGACTCACAAAACTTTCAAGGAGTGCAACTCAGATAGCATACTAGGGACTGGTCCACTCAAGTTATTGTTTGATAAATCCCTGGAATAAGCGATTGACTTAGACTATTGTTATTACAAAGAATGGGAGAACCCATTTTTGTTTCATTATCAGAAAAACTGACAAGCGAAGAGCTTGACATAACTTTTCTGGACTTACAAATATTGTAGTGACCTGAGCTCGGATATAGAAGTAACTATTTCCCCCACCAACCCACTTGAAGATAAGTTCCTGTTGTTGAGTTTATAGACGTCAACGAAAGAAGATAAATAAGAACTCAGCCAAAAGAGAGCATTGTTGGAAACTTACAAGGAGGTGATTCTATTAGGAGTCTCATCATAGCTACAACTAAGACCGTGCCAGACGAAGGATTCTGGCAGGCATGGATCACCCTGCCAATTCTTTCTCACTCCATAAAATGATTTCACGCTCGTCAGAGCTTTAACTGCAATATTTAATGTAAGTAAGAAAGAGTATGGTTACATCTCAGGTAATGATAAAGATAAATAAACGGCTAGCAAAAATTCTGAACATACCGTCTTGCTCATCAGTGTGCGATTGTGATGTATCTAGCACCGTGTAGATTTCAAGAGCATTGAGGATGGGTGGAAGACTTGATGTATTTGTTCTTACAAATTTAAAATCAATAGATTCTCCACTCATTGGGTTTGTGGTAAACAATGTAGTTGACTGCAAGTAATCAGGAGAAAAAGGTCCATGAAGATGATTTTCATTTTGAAAGATGTTAAATTCCCTCGATTGGTTGGCTTGGAGCTTTTCCAAATCAGCAAAGTGCAAGAATAAGTGAAATTTGGCATTGGGATCTCCAGGAACCCAGTGAAATTCTAGAGGAGCACTGGCATTATCGGTTGTGATAGCAGTGCTCATTACAATTCTTGGTAAATTATAACTGTTGCTGATTTCTGAATCAACTGTGGATGATGTGCTTATAATTTTGTAACTAGGAAAGTTATAGGGCCTCCAAATCCGATCATAAAAATCGTCTTGGTACCTGAGAGAGAAACAACGACATTTAATCATCATCTACTATAAACAAGTTTCAGCGTCTAATTAGAATGTCATTTCAAGTGCTTAAAAATCACCCTTTTAAAACACTTGAAAAGTCATTCCAAGCAGGTTTTTGGTATTCTTTTCATAAATGGCTTACCGAACAGTTTCGTTGGTAATCGATCCTACATCCAACCGTCTATGGAGAGCTAACAATTCGAAATCGGTAACATAGCTAGAATTTTTCAAAAGTCTAAACTCCAATGCTGATATAAAAGGTGATCCAAAGCCAGTATTCACCAGGCATATGCTTACGGAAGATGTAGGAAGTGCATGTACAACTTCTTTGTTTGTGATACTGGATTCATTGCTCAATACTACTGAATCCCATTTATTAATTCCCATGTACAGATCAAAAACCGGCGCATTACCTTCGCCATCATAGTTTCCGTACATGAAACTCGCTCTGATCAAATACTTGAAACCTTTACCTTGAGCAAGCTTTATGGTGTAGCAGTTCCTCTCCCCTTCAGGAAAGCTTCTAACATACCAGAATTGCTGTGGAAGAGTGGAAGAGTTGAAATCTGATGATATGCTCCTACTTACTCCAGTTTCTGTGAAGTTTGCATCAGAAATATACTTGATGCCTGTTACACTGTCCGTGTAGCTTGAATCCTTTGAATTCCCACAGTCAATGCTAATGAATCCTGAACAACAGAGTACACAGAAGAGAGTCTTAGGCTTCCTTTGACAACCATTTGGTGATAGTAGCGTTTATAGGCTTAATTTTCAAAAACAAAAAATAAGTAGCTATCAAACGGAGCTTATTATCTTTCATATAGACAAATTTGCATATGCTACACATTGAAACACAACAACAACAAACCTGACTGATCCTGTGCAGTAACCAGAAATGAAACAGCTAAAGCAACAGAGATCTGAAGGAGGCAGCATCTCAACTGTTCCATAATCATTAGTGCTTATTAGAACGAAAGCAGCTGCAAATCATATGTGGGAGTTGAGCTCCTTTTGTATATAGAAATCAGCATGATAGGCCAAATCAAAGAGCCTTTAGCACCTGGTCAAAGAGTAAAATGAGTAACATTCTCCAGTGAGCATTGCATGACCAGCTTACGTTCAGCCATATGCAATGCCTTCGATTCCATCATTTTGAAAATCCAGCATATGGGCAGGTTAAAGCCAAGTTGAACTATTTTAAAGACATCTTATTAAAGAAAATGAGGAAGGGAGGAAGACTTAATTCTCCATAGCTGTCATAGTTGACAGAAATATCTTTAATCTCTTCTAGTGGGGTAGATGATTTTATTTTAAAGCCAAATCAAAATCATTGACATTGTTGTTTCTGCCACTCTCTACCATAACATTTAGGTTAAACTATTCAAAATCTTCTGTCGTCTTGTTTAAGAAAGAAGACTTTCAGAATTCATTCAAATATCCGAAAGTTGACTTTGTCACTAAATTATAATCAGAGTCGTGACAACATTCTCGTTCAAAAGATGAACATTTAACTGTGGAAATTATCGATAATCACTAAGTAATCACTAATGTGGCTTGAAAAATGTATGCCTATGTTACCTTCTAAGCCTAGCATTCCTGTTTCTTTTACATTTACCAGTGCTTGGATCATTCATAGGATAACCTTCTGATCCTACTACATTTGTCAAAAATGATTTAGACTATACTGAGAATTGTTTAGATTTTAGTTTCTGGACTTCGAAATTTAAGTTCACTTGAATTTGTAGTCAATTTTCAAAAACAAAAACAAGTTACTAAAAAACTTGAGAGAGAGAGAGATTAGAATAACCTTCATTGACAAATTCAGCAAGAAGCTTGACGAAGCAGAGAGAGAGAATTAGGGAGAGCAGGAACCGGCACATGGAGAAATACATTAAAGAAACGCTGCGAATGCATTGTTTAAATTTGACGGAAGATTCGGAGATGGTTAAGGCCATTGTTTAGACCAAGAATCGATCGAAAGTCAAGACCAACCGTTGACAATCAGTCCTCAAGTTCTTAATCCTGAAAATTGAGCTGCAAATCGCAATGCTGCCGGAAAAGATACAGAGATGAAGCCGATCAACGAGATGAGGCCGACACTGTTCGGAAGGGACAACGAAAATTCAGCCCGTTCTTGTTCAAATTAAAGCTTGGAATCTAAACTTCGAGAGAAAACATCAAGAAATCATACATTAGAGAGTGTTAGTCACTTGTTTAATCCATCAAACGATAACTTAAAATAACGCTATGAACTATTTTTAATATTTTATGAAAAATAATAGTGATCGAAGTATAAGAATCATATTTTGACATTTTTTTTAATTAAATTATCAACTTTATCAACTAATTTAGACATTGCAATATCAAAATTTTCGATCGTTCTATTGAAATATGCATTTTAATCTATCAAAATTATATTTTGATCGATACCTTAGTCTATTAAATTGTTGTTTTCAATATTTTGTACGATGTAATGCTTACTATAAAAGTGTCCTTAATTGATTATGATTAATTTCTATTCACATTAATATATCGTATCGAATGAACTCAAGGAAGCTTCTCTAACTGTATACCTCTAGGAATCTCTGGTATTTTCAACTTCATGATTATATTTTAGGCTGAGCATAACATTCTTATGCACTCATTCCACATGTTAGGTGTAGCTGGTGTATTCGGCGACTCCCTATTCAGTGTTATGCATGGTTCCTTGGTAACTTCTAGTTTGATCAGGGAAACCACATAAAATGAATCTGCTAATGAAGGTTACAGATTCGGTCAAGAGGAAGAGACTTATAATATCGTAACTGCTCATGGTTATTTTGACCGATTGATCTTCCAATATGCTAGTTTCAACAACTCTCGTTCATTACACTTCTTCCTAACTACTTGGCATGTAGTAAATCTTGACCGATTGATCTTCCAATATGCTAGTTTCAACAACTCTCGTTCATTACACTTCTTCCTAACTACTTGGCATATAGTAAATCTTGACCGACGCTAAACGAGAGAAGGTTTTCCTAACTTTAAGGGAGTGAAATTGCAATTTTTAATTTGTTTAAAAGATCATTAAAAAAATTAATCTCATATATGGTCTTAATATTTGTTAAAATTTACCAATTTAAACAAAATTATACCATAAACTATTGACTAAACTTAATTTCATGAAAAAAAAAATCAATTTTACACTATTCTAAGTTTATGGTTGAATTGAGATGAAGTTTAATACATGACTAGATATTATAAGGAGGTTCGTGCGGATGCCCACGAGAAATTGAGCAAAAGGATGCCGAATTGGCCCGAGCTAATAGCCTGTTGGGCAGGCCTCCAAAGTTTAAGTTAATTTTTCCCGACATTACAATGCAAATATATATATACACATAGTATATTTCATATGGATTCAACTATGCACCAAATCATCCTTGAAAGCTATGTAATGAAGGGAACATATATTATAGACCAATAGTCAGAAGTATAGAGCAACATCAATGATTGAGAGACAAGGTTTGTCTGTTCATGTCTTGCAGCTGTTGAATCTAAAAGAGGCCAAAACATACAACTCACATCAAAATACATCAAAACACAGGTCTAGAAAGCAGGCAAGCAACTGAAGCTGATGATATGATCAATGAACAGTATTATGTCGTGAAACAGATAATCACGTACCTGTACGCAGTCGATACTCCCTGTCTCCCGCATCCTTCCTAAGAAAGAGGAAAAAAAAAACGAAGAATGGAACGTTTGGTGTGTCGTGTTTCTGTGTATCTATCGGCCATTTCGGTCAATCTCGTTGCAGGTTTCACCCCCTCTGGTTTATGGATGATAACTATAATGAAGTGGTTTCCGATGTATGAGAAGGTTATATGTCGACTAACGAGCTAAGGCTGTTTGTAACGGGTCTTTAAACACGGCAGGTCTTCGCTTGGTAGTCACAACCTTCATAAACTTCTAATCCTGGCTCTCCCAGCTGGTCTTCTCGAAAGCAAGCACATCGTTTGCTCATCTTCCCTGTCAACGCGATTTCTAATGGTCTCTGTATCAACCTCGGGAAGCCATTATCGCACCAGACCTAAAGATGGGGTAAAAGAGATCACAATATGAAGTTTATTCTGTGTGTGAATTAGCCTACAAAACCAAGCATCCATATAAGGAATGCTTTTTCCTCTCTCCAATCGATGTGGGATCTCACAATCCACCCCCTTGGGGGTCAGCATCCTCGCTGGCACACCGCCCGAGTGTATGATTCTGATACCATTTGTAACAGCCCAAGCCCACTGCTAACACTGTTTTAAAGCGCGTCTACTAGGGAGAGGTTTCTACACCCATATAAAGAATGTTTTGTTTTCCTCTCCAACTAATGAGGGATCTCACAATCCACCCTCCTTTGGGGCCCAACATCCTCGCTGGCACACCGCCCGGTGTTTGGCTCTGATACCATTTGTAATAGCCCAAGCACACCATAAGCGGATATTGTCCGCTTTGGCCCGTTACGTATCACCGTCAACCTCACGGTTTTACAACGCGTCTACTAGGGAGAGGTTTCCACACTCATATAAGAAATGCTTTGTTCCCCTCTCCAACCGATGTGGGATCTCACACCTAAATACTGTCCTAACGAGTAAATATAGAATGTGATTGGAAAATAACAGGTCTACAGTGAAGAATATACCTCACCACCTTCATCCTGACTCCATTTCGAATTACAGCTTGGCAGTTTATCCTCCTCTTTCTTTTGTTTCTTCAAAAGTTGTGCGCCTCTGGCAGCCTTTGCCTCAGCTCCCTTTAAATGCTTAGTGGGATTTCCTTGATCATCATAGTAAAGACCCACCAACTTACCTACAAATCTGTGGCGAAGGCCAAGAACATTATCCTTCAGCATCTATTCCAATAATATCACACCATTCTCAAATCTAACGTCTTCTATCAACTAATCAAATTTTCATGCTCGAACGAACACGCACGACATTTGCAAGTTGCAACAATTGTCATCGCATATCATTTAAGATAACAGATGCTACTGCAGCCAACTTACGTGTAGGATTTATGGTAAAAGCCCCGCCATTCAACAACGCTCTTGATCTACAAGATTAGTTAGTACAACAGTCAGATATATAAACCTTGAGAGAGCAGTGTCTATATACCAAAGAGGGGGAAAGAACGGGTTTGGAGGGGCAGAAGTTCTACAAAGTTAAAGAATGAGAAGACGAATAATAAGCAACAACATTGCATATTTAAGGGCAATCCCTTGACCATAGTGACAATTTAAGTAGGCAATTAAGAGTACCTCAGCATTTGACAAGCCCCGCAAGGAATCAGTGAGTCCTTCCCCTATAACAATAACAAATGATAGAATTCAATTGATACTTGAAAGATGTTTAGGTAATGGGACATATGAAACATTTTTCTTCTTCTTTTTTTCTTAGTTCTTATTCCTAACCACTCTCTACCATTCTTCCTCTCCTCACCCTCAATGAAAAAGAAATAGAAATGGACATGTGATTTAGTACATGTAACCGTCCTAGCTCAAGCCCACTGCTAGCAGATATTGTCCTCTTTGGACTTTCCCTTATGGACTTCCCCTCAAAGTTTTAAAACGCGTCGGTTAGGGAGAGGTTTCCACATCCTTATAAGGAAGGCTTTGTTCCCCTCTCCAACTGATGTGGGATCTCACAATCCACCCCCTTGGAAGCCCAACATCCTTGTTGGCACACCGCCCGGTGTCTGGCTCTGATACCATTTGTAACCATCCAAGCCCACCGATAGCAGATATTGTCCTCTTTGGGCTTCCCCTCAAGGTTTTAAAACGCGTCTGTTAGAGAGAAGTTTCCACACCCTTATAAGGAATGTTTCGTTCCCTTCTCCAACTGATGTGGGATCTCACAATCCACCCCCCTTGGAAGCCTAGCGTCCTCGCTGGCACACGGCTCGGTGTCTGGCTTTGATACCAATTGTAAGAGCCCAAGCCCACCGCTAGCAGATATTGTCCTCTTTAGGCTTTCACTTCTAAACTTCCCCTTAAGGTTTTAAAACGCATCGGTTAGGGAGAGGGTTCCACACCCTTATAAGCAATGTTTCGTTCCCTTCTCCAACCGATGTGGAATCTCACAATACATATTTATTGTTGAGTAATAGTCAAATTACCGTTTTCGCACGTTTTCCATACGAAGACATAATTAGGATGACGACACTTTAATACAATAGTTAATTGAGGATATACATCCTCCACCTTAAAAAAAAGCCTAATTTTAGGCACTCCATTCACAATGTAGAAACGAAAAGCAAGCATTGGTCAGAAATTGATTCAAATTGGCAGCCCAAAGAAAACAAAAGTTTCACTATATCTGTAGAACACTCAAATGTCTGTTATACTATGTACACAAAGTTATAGCTAGAAACTGACGGAAAATATTTTAAAGCGCCCCAACAAGAAACCATAAATACCTGTGAAGTTTCCTGATACGAATGCACGAGAAGCATCTCTGTTTTAAAAACAACCATGAAAGAAGAAAATATCAGAACGTTACTGCTAAAGTATATCGCAAAACTCAAAGAAAAGTGGCAATCGAAAATCAAGGTCTCGTTAAAAAGTAACCAAATATAATTGGATCAGTAAGGAACTATGAACATTCAAATTGAAAATTAATGTTTTCAGGCTTCCAGACTGTTCTAGATGGAAAATAAAGAAGAAAGAAAATGACTCATTAAGATAATCTATTGATTCAATAGCCACAAAAGACAAACACAAATACATGAAGAAAAAGAACTATGACAATTTGAACCATTGATAGAACAAATGCTGCCATATAGGAATTTTAAAATTTATTCTTATCAAATTTGGATTTGTTGCCTAGGAGATCAACAAGGAAAAAATCAATCACAAACCTTCCCGAAAAGTGATGATAACCTCCTCCCACACCATAGTGAGATTTTCCTTTTGTGACATCAAAGACTGATCTGAAAAAAATAGAATTGTTAGAGGTTAAATAAATAGCAAGGGATCGACTTCCATGAAATGACCCCTTTGCTTAACCGTATTAACAACGGGCATGCATTCCTATATGTTGTCGGTTATTGATGTTTAATCCAAGACATTTTGTTTTTCCATGTGTGGCAGAATAATGATATAATTTCAAAAGAATGTCAACAAGAAAGAATTGAGATATGCAGCTCAGTCGTTCAACGCTATGAACTATCATGATTTTCTTTATCCATTTTCTACATTCTCTCATAAATTGTAATGATTAAACAAATTTAACTGAAAAAAACATAGATAAAATTTGGAGGTGGGTTGGGAGGGAGGTGGAGAGTACCCAAGAATTCCAAGAAGGATAGGCAATCCCTCATCAGTTCCATTATACAAAGCTAGCTCATCAACTTTGAAGAGTTTCTACAAAAGCAAACAAGAACTTGAAATAAAAGTATAAAACTCTGCCAACTTAAATCAATTAGAAATTAACTAAACCTCTCTGATAAAGAGTCCATTTCATGTTACACCCACTTCAAAGCCAAGATCACATGTTGCCAATCTTCTTTCAATCAATTTAACAACTTAAAGAAGGATAATAAAGACAGAAATGTACGTAGGAATCCTTGATAACACTTATTTAACCAAAAGGACCCAAGTAGAGTTCTCCCATAATCAAGCTCTAATCACAAGATCCCAAAAGCCCGACGAGAAACAATCCACCATTACGCTACAGAGATAAAAAATTTGAGATCTCACATCAGTTGGAGAGAGGAACGAAGCATTCTTTATAAGGGTGTTGAAACCTCTCCCTAGTAAACACGTTTTAAAACCTTAAGAGGAAGCCCAGAACGGAAAGCCCAAAGAGGACAATATCAACTAGCAGTGGCACACTAAGAACACCATCTCAAAGCATTTAACCAAAGGCCATCATCTTTCCCTCGATTTGAAATTGTAGCCACACAACGTGTAGATCTCTCGCTTTCAATCTTTAATCCTTTTTTCATAGCATTATGTAGCATATCAAAAACTCGCCCATGTAAAACGAACAAAAGATCTTAAACAGCTCGATAATCATAAACGCAGTTCTAACAAGTCACAAAAGCTGCTATCCAATAATTAATACTCCGAAAATTCGTAAAATACCAGCAAATTCCTAAAGACAGAGAAATGCCTTCCAATTCCAACAGAAAATAGAAAAATGTCTTCCGAAACTATAATACAAGCATAATTATCAAGAAGAAACTCGTACCAGTTGAGGGGAAGGCAAGGAAGGGGCGATCGGATATCGGGATTTGAAGGAAAGCCCGACAAAAAGCGCAACGACAGCCACTATAAGAGCCAAAACCCACCCCAAGGTCTTTCCCGCCATAGCTTTTCCCTTCACCGAGCTCGAGCCCTTCTGTTCATCTTCATGCGCGTCTTCACCCGGTCTTGGCGGAGATTGATCACTCGCCATACTTCTGGACCCGAATGGCAAATTACAGATGTGTCTTCTTCGTGGGATTTTGTTTTTACTCTTTTTTCTTTTTGCTTTTTTTCTTTTTCCGCCTTTGAAAAGTCCTCGCTGTAATAAATAAATAAATAAATAAATAAATATATTTTTAGTGTTAATAATTATAATATTAAAATTTAAATATTTAGAAACTACGTAAAACATTATATTATATTTTTTATTACGACATATTATTAAATTTAAAAATTATTACGACGTTTTGTTATCTTAAAAAATTAAAATTATCTATTTTTTTTTAAATAAACATTTTTAATATATATATAAATGAAAAAAAATTTACTCCACCCAACCAAGGGTTAAAATTATATAGTTTTATACTTTATAACATCGGAACAAAACACTATAAAAAGTCTCAGATTAGACTTTTAATGACATGAACAATCACGACGTACAAAAAATACTATAAGAAGCCTACGATATTGTTTTTTCGTAAAATTATCTATAGTTTTATACTTTATTATCACATCTATTATAGCTATAAAAAACGCTATAAAAAATATCAGACTTTTAATTACATGAGTTGTCACGACGTACAAAAAACGCTATAAAACATCTACCATAGCATTTTTCGTATGCTACTGTATCAATTATTTTTTGTAGTATCAATCACTTAAAAAATAAATAGGAAATTTCAGAGAGACAGAATACAAAATAAGATACGAGGCAAGAGGATATAGACATATATATATATATTTGAGAAATCTACCGGAACAAGTGCTATACGAGAACAATTAGTCGATCTGGATTTGCGTCGTTGGTAAAATGGAAAGAATTAGGCAAAGAGAGACCTGTGGGTAAATGAATGGAAAGATCGAAAAGTTAGAAGAAGAAATGATTTTTTGGTTAGACGTATGGAATTAGCTAAGCATTTTATTTGAACAAATATAGAACCCGAATGGATGATTTTATGTCTATTACCTGTTCTTCCTCCCGAGTTGAGACCGATCATTCAGATAGATAGGGGTAAACTAATGAACTCGGATATTAATGAACTCTTCTATATATGGCAATGCGATATATGGGGAATGTGTAAATGAAAATGCAGCATAATTTTAAAATCAAAACAACCCAAAATACATAAAGTACCAATAAAAACACACACATAAAGCAAGCACAACAAGAATTATGGAACGTTATTTTACAAATTTGAGGGTCTGGTTTCTTTTTTTCTTTTCTGAACAAGAACAAATACTATGAACACAAAGCATATGAAAGAGATAACCTGAGATTCTCCTTACAAACCTTCAACGTCTTCTTCATCCACTGCGAATCTTGCTTGCTGCTAATAGCACAAGCTTGTTCTGTCGCCTACAACAAGTGGGAACAGCAACTCGCCGCGAGGTAAGAAAGATGAACGGATTCTGTAACGGTCGTTTCAATTTCCAACCGTTGACTCGAGCTTTCTAATGATCAATGTTTGATTTAGCTACTATCTCCATCTGATAGCTCAGGCTTCTGGACTGTAATTAAAAGCTATGTCGCACAAATTGTTGAATCGCTTCGCCACGAGATGGAATCGAAATGGATCGATTCCCTTGTAATGGAAGGAGGGTGAGCTGCAACTGGACAAATCAATAAACACGAAGGTAAACGTAAGGTTCAATTGTAATTCTAGATTCTTATTTCAATGGTTGACAATATATCCAAATATTTTTAAGTCTAATAGGTGTGTTTGTGTCTAATATGTCCTTAAACTTCCGATTTTATGGCTTGTAGGTCCCAAATGTCAAAGTTTTTTAACTTTCAATTTTGTATCTAATAGATCCTTGACATATTCAACTACTTTTTAAGTATTGGACACAAGATATTAAACTTTCAATTTTGTTTCTAATAGTATGTGAATGTAAAAAATTGTCAAATAAGTTAGGGATCTATTAGCTATAAAACGGAAAATTCAACGACTTATTAAACACACAAACGAAAAAATTAGGGCAGTTCAAACATTTTTATTAAAAAAAAGGAAAAAAGAAGGGGGAAAGCCAAACATTTTTATGGTCTCAAACAGGCACTAACCTTGGAACCTCAGTGAACTGTGGCCTCTGAATCGTTGTTCCTCGCTGACCAGTAACTCCCTAGTGACCCATACTTTGATCTACAATTGCTTGATGCTGATGGGAATGTGGCTGAAGGCGTTCTTGCTGCAATCGCTCGAGTGGCTGCTGCTGTACTTGAGGCGGACTCCTTACACTCATCTGTTGATCGGCAGATCTCAATAGCCTGCTTCTTCTCCATTTAAGATACTCTATAAGAAGCGAGTTTATGCAAATAGCAACCCCGAATCCGGTGAGGGCAGAAAGGAAAACCGAGAGAACGGCATTCATGTTAAGCTGCATTTTGAAAGACGATGAGAGAATATTATGGACGATGATCAAGACCATTCAAAATATTGAGACTGAAATAAGCAGAAAGTGATAAGAAATGCTAATTCTTACTATTGCATAATATACATGAGCGAATAGGATGACTATGGCGAACTGGAAACAGGCATAAGCCCAAATGTAAGCTTTGCTCACTGCCACCATCAAATATCAAAATGGTTATCGTGTGATTTACCAACAAAGAGGAATAACTTTTATAATCTAAGCAAGAATGGGAGACTACGTAAAAGGCTATCACACATGGCACGCGACGCATTTAGCCTTTAAGATGTACGAAACAAGGCTTTATTTGCTTTCCTCGAGTCAAGACTGCATTTAGCCTTTAAGATGTTAGCTCACAAATTCATAAACGAAGTAAGATTAGCTAATTTATATTTCTATCAAGTAGTCATTTGATACGTACCAAAAGTTCTAATGATCTAGATGGAACTAAAAAATACAGGCATTTGTGGGTTCAATGCGAAAATAGCACCAGTAAAATGTTATTCAGAAGGTAAGAAGTGAACCATGCACGAAACAAGGCTAGCTAGGTAGCCATCTTCTCTTCCTTCCTTAACTTCTCCAAAATATATATATATATATAGATATATATATATATATATATATATAGATATATATATATATATATATATATAGATATATATAGATATATATATATATATATATATATAGATATATATAGATATATATATATCTATATATATATATATGTGTGTGTGTATGTATATATATATATATATATGTATGTATCTTACCTCACGCCCACATCATTCCTCCTACTACTAGTGCTTATCCTAATGAACTTTTAGGTCACGTTTTCCTTTTACCCTTCTTCTCATACACTCACTGTAGGAGCCTAACACAATACCCCAATTAATAGAATCATAAATAGAAGAAAATTACAAGAACCGCTAGTTGTTTCTTTAGAACTGTTTCTTTTCAACCAATTCATTTTTCTGGAGCTTAAACTTTAGGTGTTAACATGTTTTCATAAAAGAGACCTCACTTCATACAGCTCCATAGACTCTTCACTATTCAATTAATAGAAGAACACCGATTAAAGAAAAGGGACTAAATTATACCAGATGATGAATATTGGTAGGGTATAATATATTTTATCCATAACAGTAACTGACCCATTGTGGAAGCAATCATAGATGAAAGGACACCCAAAGCACATGAAAAGGGAAAGGAAATCGCGAGTGCACGAGGACCCATGTTAGGTACCTGTTCAAACAGAATTTTATTGTGGAAATTAATTCGATTTGGGAGATATGGACCAAAAATAAGGATAAAAGAGGGAAAATAAGGATAAAAGAGAGGGAAGCAGCAGCACCAAGAGGATTTTAACATTGGAGGAAGAAAATGAACCAAGGATATAAGATAAAATTGTAGTAAATCCAGAATCCAATTGCTAAGAAAAAGGAATTCTTTCAATATATATACAATAACTTTTTCTTGTGTGCGGTGACTTGATAAAGTATACTGCCAAACACTAGAAATCGTGATTGGGATTCCTTGGGTTCTTTATTCAAGTGCTTCACCGATTTTATTGGAGTTTCATTGGCTTTTTTTAGAGGAAGAACCATTGCGAAAAATGAAAGAATATAAGAGCATACAAAAAAAAAAAAAAAAAAAAACCCAACAAAAAA